AGCCGCCTCTTCCGAGACCGCGGGAGCCGTTCCTCTGCCAGGCCTGCCCGCAGCCTGCCGTTCCCCTGAAGACGAACTTTGGGGGAAGTCAGCAAAGCACGGAGCCCCCGCTCCGGCCTCGGAAAGGCAGGAGGAATGCGCCGGAGAGCGACCCCACCGCCCAGGGGAGCCTGTAGCTGCTAAGCAGGAAACTGGGTGCATGACTGCCCCCCCCCCCGCCGGGCTTTTCGCAAGGGGGGGATCTGAAACCAGCCTCTTTCCCCGGAGAGGGTAGACTGTTGTGCGAACAAAGCCATTGTGGGGGATGTTGTGAAAGCCCCAAGGGAATGAATGGAACACGCATTTTCACAACAAACGCATGGCATGAATTGCAGTACTGGAGGTAAATGACAGGAACTGTAAGCATCTCAGTTGTGCACTTTTATTAACACCCTACTACACAAAGTACATCTGGAACACAGAACTGTATGTGCCACTGTGTTGGCACCAGTAGCCAGCTGGTAGCCAAGAGGCTCAAACCAGGGTAAAATGTTCCAAAAGGTTTTATTGAACAAATATTAAAGGAGTGACAGAGAAGAAAAGGTATAGCAAACTGTGTCCCCTCTGCTGGTCGGAAGCCCCGGAATGCCAGCACTTGCTCCCCCCCAATGCCAATCTGGCTGACATTTCACCTGGAAATGGTTTAGTGTTATCAGTGACTTGGTCACAACTTCAGGCCGCTGACCCTCCACCAAAGAGACTGGTCCATGAGACCTTGTTTCTGCTTTCCCTCCTTTCTATAGGGCTCAACTCAGGTGGTCCTCTTCATCTTATGGGGACAATGGAGATGAAAGGCTCGAAGAGAATACGACGAAGCAATCCAGAGCTTGCAAGAATATCTATTTTCTATCTGCAGAAGCAAAAGGGAAAAAGCGGTTCCTTCTGCAGGGCCAAATTCAGCAGCAGCGTAGGGTGGGAAGCTCTTGATGCAGAGACCAAAGAGCCACAGAAACCATGTCCCACTTCCCATTCCAGCAAATGTCTGCACACTGGAAGATCGCACAGATCCTGCCTCCCATGGCCACGCAAGGTGATCATATTCACCTGTCCTGGAAGACTAGAAAGTTTTGATACGTAAAGATCAACCCTGCCATGGAACAGTGTTTCACTACTCGCTCCAGGCAAGAGTCTGTTTTGGAAAAGGCCCATTTTCCTGCCAACTGAAATCCATTATTTTGGCTTGAAGAAAGGATATGGATCCTGCAGGATCTGCCACCGGAGCTCTGTCTTCTATACAGGGAGATGTCTCCTCCCACCATCGTTCTTCTGCAGGTGACGCCTGAAGGCTGGCTTCAGACAATCTGCAGCCTTCTAGCCCCACAGCCCTCGAAGGAACTGCCCTCACCCGCCCCGCCCCGCCCCATTTATACCATGCAAGTTAACGGTCGCTGCACCTTGTGCTAATGAATCCCACAGGGAAGTTATACGTTACCAACACACACGCAGCCCCCCCACACTCAAACCAGAGGAAGATTTGTCCCCAAGATTTAGAATAAAAGAACTAAGAAAGTTCAACCGTAATATACACAAGCACTACAAAAGAAATAATGATAACTGCCCAAAATAACATTTTTTCCTTCAAATCCAAAGCTCTCTCTGCCTTTTTCCGGTCCTTTCGGTTCCCGTCTATGAGCACCCTGACATCTTCATCCCGCAAGTTGGGCTCCAAGTGCAGCCGGTT